GAGTAGATGTGGTATTTTTATTGAAATCTTATCTTTATCTTTGCTTTTATCTATTTTTTGCTTTTTTTTTTTTTTTGGATTTTTTTATTTTTGTATTAAAAAAAACATTTGGTTGTGGTGTACGATTCATGGAAGGAAGGGCGCCTGGGGCGCGGTGGTGAATTGGTGTTTTTTTGTTTTTTTTTGGGGGGAGAGGGGGGGGGGGGGGGGGGGGGGGGGGTGTTGATGAGAAACTGTGTTTTTTTTTTGCTGATACTGCACCAATTAATCAGTTATCTATATTCTAGTTGGGAGAGCTAATATAGAAAGACATCATACCTTAGGCAGAAATTCCTTTACTTGCATAATTTCAGTTACCAGTTGGTCTACATCAGCTCTTAAGACTGTGACAAATGGCTGTTGTCTGTCAGACTAAAAATGAGTACAGTTGAGATTTGTAAGAGGTTAATGCATTGAAAACCATCTAAAACTGCAATATCAATGTAAAACAAGCAGGATTAGGGTGCTCCCCCTTACACCATCATTGTAGTCAACCAGTTAGGAAAAAAACAATATGTTACAATTTATCATCCTTCATTGTCATTGCCCTTTGCAGGAAAAATAATCCTGTGGTAAAGTAGATACCGATTGGACCATAACATATACTCACAGAAAAATTTGTCGTATCACCTTGTGCTTTTTGCAAACTTTGAAGGGATTTTGGGTTTTTCTGTTCCATCAATCATTTTAGTGAACGTGGGGTTAATGCAAATTACTATGTAACGTGCTCGCTCAGCTTGGCTGAGAATGACTCTGGAGTGCTCAAGAATAACAAAGGAAATGGCGATGGTGAGTGGATTTTTTGTCGAAGGAAGGAGGCAGATTGCAGTTTGGACCACAAAGGCTGGGCCAGCAAATGTGGGCACATAGCAGAGTTGTGGTGGGACTGGGAGTGGCTAAAGCCACATTGTGTAGAGGGAAGGGTATAGGATTGTGTCCCACTCTCACTCTATAAATGGTTGCATTATTCCTGTGGCTGCTTAATACTGGTTTCATAGTATAGGTATCATCAGAATGAACTCAGTTTTAGGTTGTTCAAATAGACCTCGTCACAATTTTGGAAGCCATCTCGACAGGTATAGGCAACCATGTCTGAAATAACAGTGTTTGTATGAGAATCTGAATGTTGAATAATTCCACAAAATGGTTTTTCTAAAAAATAAAAAATTCTAAACTAAAGCTTCGCTAAGGATTCTACTGAAAAATGTTGAGGGCATTACATGTGCTAGAACCACTTTTAAAAATTTTCTATACACTTGCCTCAAAAATTTTTCTTCTTGCTGACTAACCTTTCCCAGGATAAATTAAAGAAAAATATATGGAAAATCTAAAGCAAGTGTCTGGATAAAATTAAGCACAGGTACAGCCCCCAAAATTTGTTAGTAGAATCCTTTGCTGTGTAGCCTTAGTTTACAACTCATATGCAACATTAGATTGCCTCCCGACAAGAGGCTTCCAAAACTGTGACAAGGTCTATTGTTAGCATGGGAAATGTTATCCTGTTTGTACATTGGCTCAACATCTCCCAAATTTTTTAATAATATTTAACTCAACAATAATTATTACGATATGTACGCGTTTACGTTTTGATCCACTTCCAAGAGCGTTTTCAAATCGATGCATTTTCGATGAAAACGCTCAGCGTATTAGTAAGTGCGAAGGTATCGAAGGCGGTTTACATTTTCACTGGAACGAAAACGCATTTGTGTGGACGGGGCCTAATAACAGTAAAGATAACAAAAAGAAATGGAAGCACTGACAGATAAAACTGTCACTAGACTTGTATTTCCTTCCAGTTGTGCAAAGTTTGCCGTGGACAACAAATATATGAGAAAAAGACGTTAAAAATGCATTAATTAACCCTTGGTGTAGATATTACATTATTCATATACAAGAAAACACCATAAATAGTAAATAGAAACCGTTAACTCAACAACTCTGAACAGTCTTGACAGTACACACTGACAGCCTGACAACACCGAGAAAATACCAAGGGTAACGCAGTCTGCTGAGTCATGTACAGTAGGACTGCAAGTCCGAGAGCACCTCAGTGAGTGTTTCTCGTAACTGTAAAAGAAAAGGAAAAAATAAAATAAACTTCAGAATCAATAGCGATGACCAATCACTTTACCTTTGGAAATGGGGAAAGATCAGGTAACCACTGTCCTAGTTAGTAACTATAATCCTGGACAAAAGTCCTTGAGACAATACTGCAACATTCATATTTTTGATCTGTCATTTCCCGGTTGCCTCTTAAAACAGTGCATCCTGTTTGAAATTTTCTTTCAGTTCTCCCTCCCCCCCCACTCTATACAAAGTTGAAACTCCAAAAAAAATTCTGGATACACGCTGGTCCAACATTGTTTGTGGGGTGAGGGGACGGGTTGGACCTTTGTGAATTGGAAAACGCACCAGAAACGAAAAAGTGTCCCAAGACTGCTACTGATTGTAGTTAACATTTCATCAGATAGAAATTACATGTAATGCGTGGCTTACCTCTCCTTTGGTGGCTCGAACGAGATTTTGAATAAGTGGCAGTGAAATCTAGCAGGGTAACACAGGGAAATTAATCAAAGTAAGTCCGAGTATAATCAAGCGTTGGCTGCTGGTAAATTAAAGGCCGGGGGGATACAGTTACGTGAAGTGAAAGCATAGTCGCCGAATCACCTCCAAAGAAGTCACAGTAGTACGAAAAATTCGTTCCTAAGTGGAAGTAGTATACCACTGAAATTTTAGAGGCATATTTCATAATCGTTCCAGTGATAATGAATTATTTGAAAAAATACAGTACACACTGACAGCCTAACAACACCGAGAAAATACCAAGGGTAACGCAGTCTGCTGAGTCACGTACAGTAGGACTGCAAGTCCGAGAGCACCTCAGTGAGTGTTTCTCGTAACTGTAAAAGAAAAGGAAAAAATAAAATAAACTTCAGAATCAACAGCGATGACCAATCACTTTACCTTTGGAAATGGGGAAAGATCAGGTAACCACTGTCCTAGTTAGTAACTATAATCCTGGACAAAAGTCCTTGGGACAATACTGCAATATTCATATTTTTGATCTGTCATTTCCCGGTTGCCTCTTAAAACAGTGCATCCTGTTTGAAATTTTCTTTCAGTTCTCCCTCCCCCCAACTCTATACAAAGTTGAAACTCCAAAAAAAAATTCTGGATACACGCTGGTCCAACATTGTTTGTGGGGTGAGGGGACGGGTTGGACCTTTGTGAATTGGAAAACGCCCCAGAAACGAAAAAGTGTCCCAAGACTGCTACTGATTGTAAATAACATTTCATCAGATAGAAATTACATGTAATGCGTGGCTTACCTCTCCTTTGGTGGCTCGAACGAGATTTTGAATAACTGGCAGTGAAATCTAGCAGGGTAACACAGGGAAATTAATCAAAGTAAGTCTGAGTATCAAGCGTTGGCTGCTGGTAAATTAAGGGCTGGGGGGATACAGTTACGTGAAGTGAAAGCATAGTCGCCGAATCACCTTCCAAAGAAGTCACAGTAGTACGAAAAATTCGTTCCTAAGTTGAAGTAGTATACCACTGAAATTCTAGAGGCATATTTCATAATCGTTCCAGTGATAATGAATTATTTGAAAAAAGGGAGGCTACTTACAGGTTGATAAGAAGGTTTAAAGCTGCTTACACAATACAAATACCGCGGTCTATTAGAATGTTACTGCTACGATATAAACACTAGAAAATCTGTACATTGTAAAGCTACTGTTCACAAGGTTTGCTTGGAAAGTAACCGTACACCAAGTCATCCTTCTCAGTTTTGCTGTAGGTGAATCTTGATCTGAAGATCTCTCAACCGCGACGGATAGATTTTCCGTAAAGAGACCATTTATGCATATTTGTAATTTTTTTATTTGTTTTGGATGCAGATGCTGCGAAACGAATTGAATTGCGATGTTACGCGTTTGACCACCCAAGTTCAAACCTGTCTTGCAACAAATCAGGTTGTCGCAAGTTGCCTGCTGAGTTCTGACTTCTGATTGGATAAAATTACGCGGGAGTCACGCCATACAAGGGAGTTACGTCACTTGCAGCAAAACAAGTTTGCCTTGGACCGGTAGACGCGCAACATGTACAGATTTTGTTGCAAAAAGTACAACTACTTTCTGCAACAAATTTTCGCAACCGGCAACAACCTGAATTGTTGCAGGACAGCCGTTTGAAGGCCGCCGGTGGTAAAACGCGCAACATCGCTATTCAACTCGTTTTGCAGGAATGTTGCAAGACAAACTACACGTTTTTTTGTTGCCTGTTGTACCGTACCTTAAAAGATAAACTCACCGATTCAATGGCCTCGCTTGACAAACTGTTTGGCTCCATAACAATAGACTGAAGCAGTCTGAGGAGATAACAGCATTGATTGTCCTCTACGTATTCACAGGTTATTTAATGATTAAACTACAATACAACTTTATAAGTTATTTTTCGCTTACCTCGCTGCATTTAGCCTTAGCTCTGAGTCATTCTCCACTACAAGAAATAATAATAATTATAATCGTCATGTCGTCACTATCATCATCATCACCATCGCCATCAACACAATCATTAATCATCCACAAAGATATGCAAGTTATGAAGGCCCTATTTAATTTCAAATAACGTGAATCAAACAATGAATTCAAGTCAGTAAACCAAATCGTAGCATGCGTATGTTCATTTTCAGAATCTGTAGCAGAATTTATCTAGCCAGTTATTTTATGGTGACATCTTTTCTTATGTCCAATTCTGTTTTGGAAAAACCCTGTCACTGTATTCCCAAGGGAAGCATGCCGAAGATGAGCGGCTCAAATTAGCTTGGCAAATTCTACAAAGCTTCTCTGTACGTGTAATGGGTAATAGTACCTCGTATTACGTGCAGGAGATGTCCTAGTAGCTCTTGCTTCTTGATGATGTACTGAAGTCCAGAGAAATTGATGCTAAAAATAGTTCCAATAGAGAATTTTAAATACTAAACCAGAAACCCATAAGGGGTTGAAACGTGTAACTCGCGTTCAATGCTCGTGAATATTCATTTTGACCATATTTGGAAACCTTAGTGACGGATATCCATTTTCAACAGAATGGCTGCTGCGCGATCATGCAGATGTTTTAAGACAAGAGTTCTGCATTTCAAGGTTAAAAATACACCGTTAAAAGACAAAAAATGGAAAGAGAAAGTTCAAAAGAATGCTCAGCTTTCTTTTTGTGGAGAAAGGGAAGCTTTTCATCAAGAAATCGTCCTTCGAGGAATTCAACCTTGTTTTCTTCACGGCGGAGCCCATGGTCTGTTTTGAAATGCAACCAAGTCAGCGAAGTTTTTGCTGAATTTTCAGGTACATTTTGCACTCTATGGCCAAGACAATTACGTTTTTGAAAGGGAATTTATGTATATTTAAATGTTTCATAGACGTTTTATAAATTTTTCTCTTCGGCGCTACAGAAAAATTACAAAATGTGCCCTGATTTGAAATGGATTTTGTGTTGAATTTTGCCATGTGCTTAGCCGATGTCACTTGCGTGAACGGATCCACGAATCAGATAGTGTTTTCCGAATTGCTTTAAAGGATTAACTTTTTGGACTTTGAATAAAAATTTTCAAGAAACGGCTTCTCTGTCTATTGTTTTGAGTTTGTTCATTCATAAAATTAGCTCAAAACACGATCGTGACTACAACGTCTAAGTTTAATTTAAGCTCTTAAAATGCTTCTCACATTTATTACAAGCATCACTTTTTGCGAAGATGTCAGGTTCACGTTTTGGACACTTTCGATACGCAGCTAATGAATTTTATTCGAAAATATTTTTCACTGTTTATTCTAGACTTTTAAATTTGCAGTGTAAGTTTACTGTGCAGAGGGTCAACGAGGTATCGTTTTTTGAAGTGACAACTTCAAGAAGTTGCGAGGCCGTCAATGGGTTAAATAATGTTACGTTTGGCCCGGGTGGTAAGGCAATAATATCCTGCTCAGTGTTTCGGTAATATTCCTGGTTTCAACCTTTGAAAGCTTTCTCGGCTTTGAAAGCTTTTCCCCGTTTGTCGGCCATTTTTTTAAGCGGGCGCGGGAACCTGAAGGAAAATTACGTCACGTTGTTTACGAAGTTTGATTGGTCAGTTATCTCTTCTTCTCGTTCCAAATATGGTACTTTCGAAAATGAATAATCACGAGCATCGGGAAGCAAACATATGAGAGTTACACGTTTCAACCCCTTATGAGTTTCTGACTAAACTGAATACTTACACCCGTACAATGCCATGATGCTCGGCTAAACAGGTAATTTCGTGGTTTTACTATAAAGTAAAAACGGGAAGGGAGGGGAAAATGTTTTGAAAAGCTGTTTTATACCTTTTTAGGGACAGTTGCAACATGAACACAAGTGTTATGCACGCTTTTTGTAGCCTAACATTCCGTGCACTTAATATCGACTTAATACCTTATCGACGAAGCCGACAGGAGATCTGGGTACAAGATTACTAGTGAAGCTATTAAATTTCTGATGTTCTAACCGTTGCAAACATTATAGGGAGTTTAAATCACCCAACAGCGACGGCGACGGCAACGAGAACGTCAGAAAAAAAAAAAAAACAAAAAACAATTGCCTAATCGAGCAAAACAGCAACTGCCGTTTTTTCACGCTTTTTGGTACATTTCACTGCCGTTGCTGCCGCGACTACAGCGTGAAGTTTTCTAACTTTACTATTTATATGCACAAGACAAAGGATTCTGTTTTCCTTTTCTGTTTTTCCGTTTCCCTTTTTTTGGACACGGTTGTTTTAACAATTCAGGTCAGAGAGAATCCGCCCAAATGTAACAATTTGAATGAAATGGAATATAGTCATGAAGTTTCGAACAGCGTGAATTGACTTTTAAAGTGACGTTTCCGCTGCCATCGTTGTCATTATTATCATCGTAAGCACCCTTCTACAAGACCATAGGAAATTGTTATTAGTAAAATGCAGTAAATTAAAATGCCAATAGTGAGCGTCCCCTATAGAGTTCTTCAATCCGGTCATCCCGAGACAAATTTCCCCCAAACCCGTTATCCCGATGGTTATTTTCGGCATCTCGCATCCCGCAGTGCATATTAGGCTGATTTAGCAACAGGACGGGAACGTCATTTGACGACATGTAAGCGCGCGGAAAGGACTAAACTCGACTTCCGGTACCCAATTTGCCGCTCTGCCATTGGTCAATCCAGTTGTTTGATTTGTGCGCGCAGTCGTCAACAGACGTTCCCATTCTGTTGCTAAATCAGCCTACTTTCAACCCTGAATCTCTCCCCTATTTTGCTTCGAAATCCCGAATTCCACCCTTCAAATAGGGCAAATTCCCAAATTCCGAAAACCAGTTAGGGACTCTGTTGGGGATCCTCAATAGTGAATGCTTTAAGAAGGAAAAACAAAATGTTTTTTCACTAAGCTGATTTAGCCACAGAACGGCCAGGCCTAAATATTGTTATAAAAAAAACATTACACTTTGTTATGATCAGCTTAAGTCTGTTGTACTCTTCGGACTTGTCGTTTTTTGTTCTTACATTTTAGCTGATTAGATCTCTTGTAAGTAGCCAACATTGACAACCAGCTGGATTTTCGTCCACAGTTTTTGCAGTTATTTTCTTTATCATCAAGCCAGTTGTTTGATCTCCGCGCGCCGCCGTCAACTAACGTTCGAATTCCCGTTCTGTTGCTAAATCAGCCTGTTGACGGAAACTTGGGCACGTCTCACCTTATGTTATACAAAGCCATAAGTATCAAATTTCTGAGCTTGACATTCTTCCCCAGTGTTGATGACGTCAGTACAGTAACAAAGCTGTCAATCAAGCCACGCCCACTGTCCTTGGACATTAAAAAGTCTCTGCCTTGTGCTGCTGCAGCCATGTTGGTTATAGTTCCTGTGAGTGCTAACACAAACTGGAATTCGTCGGACGTTTCTTTGCTCACTTCTTCACTGTACGTTTCAAAGTAGCTCTCCACTGTGCGTGCGGTGATATGAAGAAATTCTTCAGACTTATTCTGCAAATAACAATAGTCAGTCTGTGACAACTAAACGGACTAGATACTTACCATCAATATAGTGATTCCATATTTCTTAGCGAATAATTACGCCTTGTAGGGTAAACACTTTCCAATGTATAGCTTTGGTTTGTTTGGTTGTTGTTTTTTCTTTCACTTTTCTTTCTTTTCCACTAACTGCGGGTAGAGTGAAATATTTCCTTTCTCCTTTTCGTTCTACTTTTTGCTTGTTGTAATCTATTTCAAGTGTAATAAATTGCGATTGTTGATATATATCAACAATCATAACCTAAAAAGCTAAAATCAATTATCAGAGTTAAGCAGAAGTTTAATAGAATAAAGGCCCACTCGAAGCGCGTACTATCTCGAAAGAGAAAATATAAGAGGGTCTGTTAACAGGCTATTTTTCTTTGTTGTCTGTTGTCTCACGTTTGTAATTAACGAATCACAATTAAACCGTACCTGAATACTCTCGAAAACACCGCATATTTCAATAAAACATACCCACTCCCCTTTGGAATTTCAGGAATAACTTACAACACTGCTTGTGGGAAGTTGTAATTCATGATTCTCAAGAAAACTGATGCGTCAGGTAAACACTTCGAACTTGGCCTTACAGCGTTTAGTTGTCGTCGTTGTTGTTTTTACACTCAATTAGTGATAATACTACCTTGCGTTATTCACCTATCAAGAAAAGAATCTAAAACCGAGAACAAAGTTGAGTTGCATTTAGCCTCCCACGCAAACGTTCTTAGGGGTTCGTCACGCGTCTGCGTGGGAGGCTAAGTTGCATTCCTCTCAAAATAAAATTATAATAATTACCCACCCCTCCGAGCAGGAACGATACAGAGTCCTGCTGGCGAGACACTCTCCATAGCAGAGTACATACAGCTGCTCCCATGGAAGAACAGTATTCAGACTGGTCTCCCATTTGCTGATTCATCTCTGACAACTGACACTAAAGAATCAAGGCAATTATAGTTAATATGCCTAATATTGAGTCAAGTGGGGGACGTCATATGAAATAGGAGTCAGGGTAGCTATTACGAGGGGCTGTCCGATCACTGCACGTCCTTTTAATTTTGCGTTGTTTCTTCCAAATACTCGCCCTCAACGTTCGAGAAGAAATAACTTGTAAATGGCAAAATCACAGCTTATTTTAAAAAAATATCTTCCTTGCCTTACTTTAATTTGAAAACAACAAAGATAGCCTTTAAAAAGTTCAAGTGTTAGGCTCAATAGTTTTCAAAACCCCCATTACAAACCGTTTTAATCCTCGGCTCTTCAATTTCGTCGACCCATGCCTTCTCTTACATGTTTCTGTCAATTTTGTGGACAATTTAGTGGCTGAATTTAGCCAGAACCCATGTTGATAGCAGTTTTTATAACTGAAATGGTCATCCTTTTAAAATATGTTGTTATTGTTATTATTATTATTATTATTATTATTATTATTATAATTGTTATTATGAAATTTCATGACATGCACAGCTCCGTTAACAGAAAAAAAACAGGTGTCTACTAAGGGCTACATACTTACAACGTTTCAAATTACTAGAGGGTGGGAAGGGCGTGAAGATAATGCAAAAGGGGCGGAGGGAGGGGGTGAGGGGCGGGGGGAGATAAAGACAGTGGCAATACATTACATTAGTTACTTACAGGAGTGCTAGTGACTTACAAAACAAAACCATCAGTTCCCACATCCCAGAAACCAAACGACATGTTTTGCATACTTCAAACAAAACTACTTGCTTTGGCTTTATAAACAATTGTTTAATTAACAAATGTTGTTTAGAAAGTTGGAAAAATATGCATATGGCAACAGTATTTTGATGGTTACCTTGAGTTCATACTTCTCCTGTGAAAAAAGAAAACAAAAACACAACGTTAAAAAGCTATGTGGGACTTGCGATGTGCCACACGTTGTAGACTGAATCAATATAATTGTGTGGAGAATATTGAGATACAGTCAATAGAGTGACCGATACTTGATGAATTATGCTTCTGTGAAAAAGAAGATAAACCACTGGGCATAAAAATGGTTTATCAGGACGTTTGTGCACCATGCAATAATAATATTACAACAGGACTCCTGGACAGCACATTACAATTTGCACCCCAAAAATGTTTAATTTAGAGAAGCAACAGTTGAGTAGCATATTTGTAACAATTTTCATATTCTGTTGAAGTCTAAGTTAGTAACTGTGGAACAAAACATCATACAAACAAACTTTCCTTTTTATGTTGCAGGGCCCTGTTAACTCTTCTATATCAATACACTATAACGTAAACCTTCCATAGTCACTGTTAACTTTGCACGCGGTTGCTGAAAATAGCCTTCTCTACGTGCACATTTTAAAACATCACAGACCGGAACACGACATGTTAATGTTTAAATACTTCTTACTAAAAGATTTCGATGTTTTTATAGTTAGTTTATACCCTGCACTCTTCGTGCTTGAGCGAAAAGGAAGAGAAACTTACAGTGCAGACCAAGATAATGAGGTTAGTAACACTTACAAGAACAAACAGTGAATCTCTGAGGTTAATTGGATGTGAGGAGATCTCAAATTTAGCAAGGCATAAGGAAGAATATAATACTGCACCCAAAATTGACCAATCACAATACGCAATGCCATACAAAAGAGAGTATATAATAAGAAATATTATGTTAACTTAAACACTTTATCTTTTTTAAAAATTGTAAGCATGCAGCCATATATAGCAAAAACCTGTCGGTATCTCTCACAATCCTCTAGCAGACTATCATTTCTCTTCTTCACTTCCATTAATTCTGTATTATGCTCCTGATTTAACTGTTCAAGCTTCTTTCTTAATCGTTTGTTTTCTTCCTCAGACATCTCAAGTTCTAGACAAATTTTTTTCAATGAAAAAAAAGCTTTTTCAGTTTGTTATATTATACACAGTATACTGAAAGGGGTTGAGGCACTTTGCCAACTAGAAAAATAGTAAAAATATGCCTGGACTGTAACCAGGTTTCCAGCGAAAAGTGCATACCTTGTCTGTTTGGTCATTACAGGGAAATCTATAAGACTGAGGCCTTGATGTCTTGAGGTCAATAATTCAAAGCCAAGGTCTGAGATTACCCGGCCTGTATTGACCTCACTCTTGGTTAATAATTTGTATTTACTTTCAACCCTTGGAATGAAAACGTTTCAGGGAAACTTAAGCTATATTTTTCCATACCTTGTTCACAGCGATCTAGCTTGTTAAATATGCTGAAAAGGTCTGCGTTTAACACCTAGTAGAGAGACATTAATTAATAGTGAGAATTTAGTACCTCTGATGACAAACAAGAGGTTGGGAATGATGGAGAAATACACATGCCAGTATACATAATTCAGCAAGAGTTAATTACATTCAAGATCAGGAGCTAGAACCAGGGAAAAGGTGAGTGATATTGAGAGCCAATTATTCCCTAGCCTATATCCAATGTTGCAGATTTCAATCTTTTGTGAGCATTTTGAAATTTCTGTCTTAGAAAAACTTAACTGCAGTTGACTTAGCTACGTAATGAAGCGAACCTAGGCACCTGCCTGGACAAATGATGTTGAATTATGTTTTTGTGTAGATAAGGAAGGGGGCGGGGGGGGGGGGGGGGGGGTGAGGGAAAACTTGTTTTTTTTTTTTTTTTATGTGCCCCAATTATTAATTTTTTTTTTTTTTTATTGGGATGGCTAAATAGAAAAAAAACAATCCTATTGGGCAAATATCTTTACCTTAGATAATTTCTATTTCAATTTTG